TGTTGGAATGGTTTGGTATTTGGTATTGATATAAATATATCAGTTGAAAGCCTACTCTGTAGTATAGAACGCCCATTAGATACCGATGTATAAGCGCTCAGAATTTCGTCACTCTTGAGCTCATGTAGATTATGTTCTATGTAGAGTATAAATGACACAGGTAAAGTGACCTTATGAAAAAGTTTAATCTCAAAGCGTCGCGGCGATGCGACTAGCAGTTTGTCTAAACACCATCGCAAGAAAATATTGCTTCTGAGGTGAAACAAGGGCACAGTATAATGGAAACCACAGCAACCAACGACCCCGAAGGAACTGTGCCTAGTAAAACTTAAGTCTCACTTAGACTTGTCGAGGGAATGCGCCGCCTGCACAACAGCATACAGCTTCAATTAACGATTATTTCCGAGTCAATGAATTGTGAACATTACTCACAACAGTTGTGGAGAATCTACATGCAGTTTCTATTTTAAGCACGAGACCTCACATTGCAGTATTCCCAAGACTTTGAAATATATGTAATTACCAAGGAGTCGTTGAAGACAGTGAAAAAATGGGCAGCCAAGTATTTTACTCATAAAAAATCCTACTATCTTGTCCCTCAGACCAGCACGGAGTTTACAGATATTAACTTTATGCTACCTCTACCTTAAGAAGAGATCAACTCCGAGACTGAAAGTGCCATGAAAGAATTTTTGAGAAATTATCGTTTATTTATTTATTAATTTATTTATTTATTTAAGGATTTCTACAGTCAGTACTGGAGGAAAAACAATAGGACATAAGTCTCCTACTAGGTTGGTTGAGGCAAAGGACAGTTCGGGAGGAAACTACCAAGGATAACGCAGGGGCTTTACCACCGGCCGTCTACACGATGCAACAAGATTCCACCAATGTGAACTTGGGATTAGGGAACGATTTTGACTCTGGAGATCAGCCAGTAGGGCTCAACAGCGACAAAGGTACCGTTCAAGCTACTTTGGAAGGTGGGAATGTGACAGACGTCACATTTGTTGACGACTGTATTATGATCGAAGTGGCAGTTGCTAAGGTGCGAACATATACAGACGAATGCGACACGGACTCAGAAAACGACTTTCTGACCGAGAGGATGAAGGTATCAACCCAATTACGGTTTCTAGATCCGGGCGACCAATTCACGCCCATTTTCGCTTGGATTTCTAAGGTACGCTTACAGTAGATATCTCTAATAACCTTCTTGAAAAGTAGACAAGAAAAAATTCCTTTCCGATCATTTCATCGGAGCCAATCGCAATCGATGCATTGCCGTAAACCAATATATTGAGCCAGATTGCTCTTCACAACTTTTCTGTCTTTCTGCGGATGATCTTTTTTCGAACATTTTTACCGGCTAATGAGTTAAAAAGGAATGTTTAAATGTTGCGCAAGGGAAAACAGAATTTGGTGTGCAGAAGAGATGTAACTTACTTTATTACACGACTCGGGCATTCTGAGGGCCAATAACTTAAATC